TCCTGGGGTGGACTCAGGGGCTGCCTCAGCCTGCAGGTTGGTCATGGAGACCCACCGAGGAGCTTGGGAGGGGCACGTGCAGGGTGGCTAAGTGGTGGATGGGAAGAAGTGACGCAAGGCCCTGAGCCATAAAGACGTGACCACAGAGTCCAGGCGAGCACGGGAAGGCCGGCTCCTGGACCCGAGCCAACGCAATCAGAGAAGGGGGCAGAGAACATGGCAATGGCTGATCTTTTTAACCACACAGGCACTGTCCTGCCCAGAGCCTGCCTTCAGGCTCTCCTGACTATCCTTTTACTGACGCTGTGAACTGTGAAATGGGGATTTCACACCATCACGTTTCTGCTTAGCCCCCAAGGCCGGACCCCAACGCCCCTCCTCTGCAAGGCCTGCCCAGCTCCCAGCCCTGAGGCCACCAGCTCCTCCCTTGGGCACCCATCATACTTGACTCATGGAGCTAGTGTGACAGGATTCGTGGGCTCAGTGGGTCCTGGGTTCACAACCCAGCTCCACTTAGAAGCCCATGACTGTGGGCAAGTCCCATCCGAAACAAGCACCCCGCCTCAAAGGCCTGTGGGAAACCTTAAGGAGGCAGCTAGCACCGTGCCCGGCACCACCTCAGTTCCAAGGGCCCCAAACCGCAGTCCTGTTTGTCAACCCTGGGCAGTACGGCTTCCCAGCCCATCTGACTGAGGGAGACACTGAGGCAGGAGTGGGGACACAGCTCGGGGACGACCAGCCAGCAGGGACCAGCTGGCAGAGGCGAACGCTCCCCCCGGCCCCACCGCCAGAGCAGCAGCAGGCCTGGGCTCACCAAACTCCAGCCACCCCCACCCCCACCCCCGCTCTGGGGACCAGGGCTTGGCCAAACCGCTCTAAAGCAGTGAGGTCAAGGTTCACAGCATCAGAAGGAACAAGGCACCAGACAGCCAGAAGCAGGACACTGGAGGCCCAGCCTGGCTTTGTGCTGCTTTAACGGCAGGAACAAGGACCAGTGACATTCCTTGTTGTCCGCACACTGCTATACGCTTTGCACACATTTGCCCAACAGAACAGGAAAAGTCCAGGGAATTCTGAGGATGGTGGAGGCTTCCGACCTGAACAGGAGTGTCTTCCAAACTCCCAACAACCCACCCAACCTTGGACTGACAGTCAGACCTGGAGCACTTGGCAGGACCCTGAGGCCAAGTCAAAGGGGGATGGGGGGAGGGGTGGAGGGACAGGGGAGGGGAGGGGGTGGGCAGGGAACAGCCAAAGCAGCCTCGTTGCAGTAAAAGCACCTTAGCGCTGGCCACGCACAGCCAGGCCAAGAACTAAGGCACAGACAGTCCACCGACCACCTCAGACCTCAGGGCTACCCCACAAAGCTCCAGGGAAGTGGGACCACCGGGCAGGGGGGTGGGGCACGGCTCTGCTCTCTCCTCTCTGGAAAGGTCAACTGCCTGGGCCACCCTGAAGGAGTCCCCGTGAGGGTGGCAGAGGCAGCCTGGGCCCAGAGGGACACCCGTGCTCTCCACCAGAGCGCCCTTTTAGGAGCCATCAGAGTCGAACGAATCCACGAGGACTTCATCGGCTCCTGCGGCAGCGACAGCAAGCTCAGGGACAGGCCTCTCGGGAGAGACCATGCTTTCTGCCGGGCTCACCCGGCTCTCCAAAGACAGGCCCAGAAGTCTTCATTCCAGTGGTCCACGGGGGGGGTGATCGGGTGACATCGCAGTCATATCTGCTCGAACTCCAGAACCCCACAGTTCAGGGCCATGGACAAAGGCTTCAAGGGGCAAATGAGAGGAGGTCAACAGACCTCCAAGTCAAATTTGAAATACAGATACGGAGAAAGATGTAAACATACAGGTATACTACTGAGCCATTCTTCCCTGAAACGCAGTGTCCTCCAGCCTAAGATTGTGGGGCAAGCCCCTGGTCCCAGGACCACAAGAGTCAAAGCCTTGTGAAAAGAACAGGATGCCTGCCCAGAACAGCAGCCACCACCTGCAGATGGAGGCTGGGCATCCTCCGTCCCTAGGATTACAGATTCATGAAATCCCATGGTACCCGGCCTCCCATCACCACGACAACTGCGGGCTACCTGTGCTCTAAGCAAGCACACAGCTTTATTCAAAACACAGCCCATCTGCCTGGACTCTCCCTGCTTCCCTTGCCTACCACCCACGCAGAGTTCAGATGACAAGGTCCCCCACCCTGCCTGCGGCCAGCAGAGCTGGCCATCCACACATGTCCAGGCCCAGTGACACTGGCCAGCTGGTCTGGGCAGATGCTCAAAGCACGGCCAAGCAGAGCCTTCTGGATTTGGCCCTTTGGCTGGGGCTTTCTGAGGACCACGGAGATGGGGAGAGAAGATCTCCACGAAGCATCCAGTCCAAAGATGGGGAAGCCCAAGGAGAAAGGGACAGAAGGTGGATTCCTGCCCCTGACATCAGCAAAGCCACGACAGGCACTTCTACCATGCAAACACCTCCCCCCCCAGGACAAACCGCTTCACAATAATGCCAACCTGCAAACAACGCAATGTCCCCCCACCGATGAGCAGCCCCACAAAGAGGGATGCACCCATCGGACAGAAGGAACAGGAGCCACGTGTCGCCTGAGCCCAGGGCTGAGACATGCATATGTGCCCACAACCGGGGAGCTTTTTCGAGGGGTGAAAATGTTCTAAACCTGGATTTTTGGGAGGTTCCCCCATTCTGTCGAGTTGCTAAACATTACTGCATTGTAAACTTAAGGCAAGTGAATTTTACGGTATGGAAATTATGCTTTAACAAAGCAGTCTACAAAAGCTCTTAAAAAACACAGGCAAGAACACGGATCAAGTACAGAGCAAAGCAAGTCTGTGCAAAAGAGGGTGTATCGTAGTCTTCCATTTTATACGAAGTTCTACAGGCAAAGTTATAGTGATAAAGCCCAGAACAGTAGCTGCGTGGGCGGGGGGGAGGGGGGGACAGGGGAGGGAGTCACTGCCCGGGAAGGGAGACGAGGCATCCATCCAGGGCACTGGAAATCATTTACATCTTGATATGGACGGTGACTACCTGGGATATCCATGGGTAGAACTTTATTGGCCCAGCACCGGAGAGCAAGGCACATTTTCTACACATATATAACCACACAGAAGATGTACGCATAATATAGACACAAATCTAAAAGCTTATCTTTTTCAACGGCAAAGCCCACGGATGCTCACATTGTACCTGACATTGCCTAAAGGGGAAGGACAGTTTGCTCACTGGGAGCTGAGGGGAGAACCCATTCAGGGACCTCCTACCCAAACTTCAGGACCCATCTCAAATCGCCCCATGGAGTGAAGCCCTCTTTCAGAGTTCCAGGTGTAACTACTTGCACTGCTGAGCATTCCCGCATGAAAGTCAATCCCCTTTATGCTGGGAGCAGGGCTTTGAGGAATGCAGGGAGCTGCTGCATTAAAAATTGGTTAGCATGCGTTTATTAAACACCTACTGATTGCCTAACACACACACACACACACACGTGCATGCATGCACACACACACACACACAGCACGACCGCCCAAACCACATGCCATCTCAGCAAGAAATGCTAATTCCCACCCCCAAATAGGATGTCAGTTCTGGGACAACAGGATCCAGACACCAGGCTTGTTATCAGAAGGGATCATTTGCAACATCTCCAGCCTGATCCTCCTCCTCTCACACAAATCACAGCCAGAAGGGTGGGGGAGCCCAGAGCAAACTCCATTTCCAGTGGACACTGCACTGGGCTTCCCCCACCCCACGTGAGCTCACCTTTCCTTGCCCTGTCCTTGCATAGCCTAGGGGTGGAGCAGGTCCACACGACTCCCAGGAAACATTCTTTCAGGTGCAATGTTTAAATTTGACTGCCTGGCCATCCCCACCCTCCCCACCCCCCAGGCCACCTCGGGCAGTAAAGGCAGGTACCCGGTAGGGGGGCACCCACCGCCCCATCCTCTCTCTGTCCAGGGCTCCCAACTCTCTCTGCAGCGCCCCCAACCTTGGAATCTCTGGGAACCCAAGTCTGCCCAGAAAACTTAGAAACTTCCCTGCCCAGCCAGGTCTCTGTGCCTGCGAGGCCGGAAGTGGAACTCTGTCTCGTTCTGCAAAGCCCACGGATGAAAAGGGGCTAGAAATACACCTCCGCGAACAGCATCTTTCTTTGGGTGGGCGGGTGGGTGCGTGGGTTAGACGGTGGTTTGGGGTAACTTTTTCCCTTTAAATAGTGTGCTTTCCGAGTTTCCACCATGAATAAACTCTTGAAAGGTTAATACACTTCGCGTGTGGCGGGAGCCACCCCCAGCCCCGCTCGGACGCGCGGGCCTCCCGAGTTTCTCTTTTCACCTTGTCGAGGTAGCCGCTGGTCCCAGCGTCCCGCGTCCGGCGGGCGGGGCCTCTCGCCCCCTCCCCACTGGAGCCCGCGGCTGGGCCGCTCCCTGCCGCAAGAGGCTGGCCGGGAGCTGAGCCCGCCCGGCCCCCGGATCCGCGCCCCCGGCCCGGGTCCCCAGCCCACCCCCTCAGGCGCCGCCCCCCGGTCCATTCCCGTAGCCTCAGAGGCACTTGGGAGGTGTGCAAGCTCACGCGCGCGCGCACACAAACGCAGTCGCACTTTCTCCTCCCTCCCTGACCTGGGCCACGGCCCCCAAGAGCCCACACGTTCAAACTTGGCCAAACTCGCAGCAGCGGCTGCAGGGGAGTCGTGACGACCCCCGCCAAAGAAAGCGGGACCCCCGACACACACACGCACGTGTGCCGCCCCACCCCCTGGGCGACCGCGAATCTGGCCGGGCGGCCCCGTGGGGGCCTGGGGGGGCGGGGGGCGGCCGTCTCTGCCCCCTCCCCGCCAGCGGGCGCCCCGAGCGGGGTCAGGCGGGGCCAGGAGGTGGCGCCGGGCGGCGCTGTCCCGGGCGGGAGCGGCGCCGGGGCTCCCGGGGCCACCCGACCGGGCGTCCCTCCCCGTGGTTGGTGGTGGTGGTGGGGGGTGCTGGGGCGCCTTACCTTGCAGGTTCTGGACGCGGATGTCGCTGATCTGCCCTATGAGCTCCTCGCGTTGGAACCAGTCCCACTCGTGCGCAGCCATGAAGCGCGGGCGGCGGGCCGGGGCGCCGGGGCCGGGCGCGGGCGGCGGGCGGAGAGCCTGGCGGGCGAGG